CAACGTATCCATCGCCAATATACACAGCCCAGTGCTGATAGGTGCCACGGAGGACCTCAATCAAGTCCCCAAGCTCTGGTTTCTCATCATACTTGGATTAGAACAGACAGGACAAACATATTTGACTTTGCAACAGACTTGTGTTTTGCAACAGCTGCAATACATCTAGCCTGACTTTATCTGGGTTAAACAAATATTTGTCACACTGCAATGTTTCAGATCACCAAACAAATTGACATATTAGACAAAGATAACACAAGTAAACACAAAATGCAGATTTTGAATGAAGGTTTATTGTTAACTGAAAAAAATCCAAACCTACATGGCCCTGTGTGGAGAAGTGATTGCCCCCCCCATTAAAACATAAATCAATTTTTCGAGTTCAATTTCTCTAGCAACACCCAGGCCTGATTCCTGCCACACCTGTTCTCAATCAGCAAATCACTTAAATAGGACCTGCCTGACAAAATGGAGTAGACCAAAAGATCCTCAAAAGTTAGATATCATGTTGTGATTAAAGAAATTCATAAACAAATGAGAAACAGAGTAACTGAGATTTATCAGCCTGAAATAGGTTATAAAGCCATTTCTAAAGCTTTAGGACTCCAGTGAACCATAAAAACTCCAGAGAAAACATGGAACAGTGGTGAACCTTCCAGGAGTGGCCAGACAACCAAAATTACCCCAAGAGTGCAGCAACAACTCATCCAAGAGGTACCAAAAAACTCCACAACAACATCCAAAGAACTGCAGACTTCACTTGCCTCAGTTACAACAAACAGTTACAAGAACAAGAAGGCTCATCTCAGTTTTGCCAGAAAACATCTTCATGATCCCCCAAGACTTTTGGGAAAATACTCTGGAATGACTAGACAAAAGCAGAACTTTTTGGAAGGTGTGTCCCATTACATCTAAAAAGGTAAAAGTAACACTGCATTTCAGAAAAGAAATATCATACCAACAGTAAAATATTGTGGCAGTAGTGAGATGGTCTGGGGTTGTTTTGCTGCTTCAGTACCTGGAAGACTTGCTGTGGTAAATGGAACCATAATTTCTGCTGTCTGCCAAAAAATCCTGAAGGAGGATGTCTGGCCATCTGTCCATGACCTCAAGCTGAAACACTTGGTTTCTGCAGCAGAACAATGATCCAAAACATACCAGAAAGTCCACCTCTGAATGGCTTAAGAAAATCAAAATGGCCTAGTTAAAGTCCTGACCTGAATCCGATCGAGATGTTGTGGCATGACCTTAAAGTGGTTAACGCTCAAACCCTCCAATGTGGCTGAACTACATCAATTCTGCAAAGATGAGTGGGCAGTTGTTGCTGCTAAGGGTGGCCTAACTAGTTTATTAGGTTTAGGGGGCAGTCTTTTCCCCTTAATAAAAACCTTCATTTAATTAAAAAAAAAAAAGTGTTTACTTATCTTTGTAATATTTCAATTTGTTTGATCTGAAATGTTTCAGTGTGACAAATGCAAAAAACAAACAAATCAGGAAGGGGGCAAACACTATCTCACACCACTGTAAACTGGATCACAGTCTGAAATGCATGACACATAATTACTATACCAGTGTCGGGGCCATGTCAGTGTTTCGTCTTTACACCTTGGACTGCTTTAACTGTCCAGATGACTCAGCACCTACAGGAACAAATCACTTTTAATATATTTGTACACAGCATGATATACAGAGGAAAGTGAAATATACAGAAATGTAAAAAATACTTTACTTTTATCTTAAGGTATCTGTGCGTTTTTGCATGCCACTCACATGGGTGTAGTGATCAATATTTGAAATATAAAAGAGCATGTTGTCCTCCCATGCAGATCACCCAGATGATGTGTGCCTGTGTCATTACAGCTCATCTGTATATAGCTAATATTATATTCAGTGGTGAGTAGAGTACTGAAAATCTTGACTGAAATAATAACTATGCATGGTATGCACTTTGCTTGGTGACTTATAATTTAGTCATTTCTGTTTAATACAATTAGGCCTATTTTACCCCCCCATCTACACAAAGGTACTGATAATTTTTAAACATCACACTTGCTTTGATATGAAGGGAGATGCGTATGATCTGCCTCCAACAAAACAGGGACCCAATACTATATTGTTATTCCTAAAGTCTCCATGAATATGACCTTTACACCGTAAAGAGAACCCAGGCACAGCCCATCGTGGAATGAAGTAGGGTAAGCCTATATATAGAGGGAGACCTGTGCGTCACGCCTAACGCCCAACAGGGATGTTTTATCCACCCATATTTTCTCTCTCCCTTTTCAAAAAGTATTATACAGTAATGGCCAAAAATATATGCACCCCTGCAGGTCTGTCACATAATGCATTACTTCTCTCAGAACTGTTGGAATTATAAATGCTTTGGTATTCTAATATTTTCTTCTTTTGTTTGCATTGGAACAACCCGAAAGAGAAAAAAAAAAAATTAGACATTCCACACAGAACTCCAAATTAGTGGCACCTTTTCAAAATCTTCAGAAATAAAAGTTGTATTTCCAGCTTGTGATGCTCCTTTAATTTGTAATTAAACTCACCAGTAGCAATTCACAGGTGCTAGCAATAAAGAAATCACACTTAAAACCATTTAAAATGGAGAAAGGTCAGCTCAACCTTTGTGTTGTGCATACCACACTGAGCATGGACAAAAGAAAGATAACAAGAGTTGTCTGAGGATTTGAGAACAAAAATTTGGGAAAGGCATGGACAATATCAAGGCCACAAGTCCATCTCCAGAGATCTTGAATGTTCTTGTGTCCACTGTGCGCATCATTGTGAAGACGCAGGCTGACCTGCACACATAGGGTACAACAGTGTCAGCTCGCACTATCCATCGCCATCTGAATGAAAAGGGACACTATGGTAGGATATCCAGGTGGACCTAGCTGCTGACAAAGAAAAATAAAAAAGCCAGATTGGAGTTCACCAAAATTTACCTGAGGAAGCACTTCTGGGAGAATGTCCTGTGGACAGGTTAGACTAAAATAAAGCTGTTTGGTAAAGCACATCATTTTTCTGATTTCAGAAAATGAAATGAGACCTGAAATGAGAAGAAAAGAACACTGCCCCTACAGTCAAACATGGTGGAGGTTCACTGTTGTTTGGTGTTGCTTTGCTGCTTCAGGCAGTAGATGTCTTGACTGTGTGCATGACCTTATAAAATCTGAAGACTACCAAAGAATTCTGGGGTGCACTGTAGGGCCCAGTGTCAGGAAGCTGGGTCTCCGCCAGAGGTCATGGGTCTTACATGGGTCTTACATGGGTCATGGGAGTTCTGAAGAGGCCAGCAGTGAGTCCAGATCCAAATCCTATAGAGCACCTGTGGAGAGATCTCAAAACAGCAGCTGGGAGAAGGAACCAATTAAATGTCAAAGACTTGGAGCAACTGCCAAAAGAAGAGTGGTCCAAAATTCCAGTACAGAGGTGTCAGAAACTCACTAATGGTTCCAGGAGCCGATTGATTTCAGTTATTTTTATCCAAAAGGTGTGCTACCAAATATTAAGTTGAAGATGCCGATAATTTTGTCCAGTCCACTGTTCTGTGTGGAATGTCTCAGATTTGGCTCCCCCCCCCCTCTGCTTTTTTGTGTTGTTCCAATGCAAACAAAAGAAATAAAACATGAGAATACCAAAGCATTTGTAATTGCAACAATGGTGTGGGAGAAGTGCATTATGTGACAGACCTGCAGGGTTGCTCATATTTTTGGCCATGCACAAATGTTCTGAAAAGACTAAATGCGCCGTCAATACGCAATTAATGGGAAGTGAAAGTATTTCTGTACTTTTTTTTGAAAGGGGGACACCTGCTGCTTTCCAACTCAGCCAATATTCCTAAAGAATCCATGAACATAAGATTTACAGCATAAAGAAAACACGGGCGCAGCCCATTGCGGAATGACGTAGGGTAAGCCTGGAAGACCTGCGAGTCACGCCTAAAGCCCAAGAGGAATGTTTTGTGTACACATATTTACTCTCTCCCCCTTCTTCTCAAAAAGTAGTTTTACCTGTTGCGTGAAAGTCAAGATCAGTTCCACCCATAGACTGTATCTAAAAAGGTTTCACCGTACAGTATAGACTACGTTTGTTGGGCACAGACTAAATGGGTAATTAATACGCAATTAATAGAAAGTGAAAGTATTTCTTGTTAAAGGGCGGCGGTGACGGCAGCCACCAGTGTGCACTTACTGGATTTGAGTTACAATAGTAGAACAACCAAACCTTAAATTTAAACGGTATTTGCCTGATTGTCTCGTTTTTAGTTTATGGCCTGATCATTAATATCTGGCTGAACTCAGCGCACGCAATTTGGATGACAGCTCCTTTCAGTTAATGTAGCAAAATGCACATTAAATAACAGACTAGGGTTGACAAAATAATAGAAACACCTGTCAGTACAACGCAACAAATCAACTGCACCACAAACTGCAGCCTTGAAAATTATCATTAAGTTCAATCAGAATGAAAGAAGAATTGGAAAGATAGAGTAGAAGTATCTTTACCAGCAAGTTAACCAGCCCCTACGAACGTTTTGATATGCGCATCCTTAACTGGCATCCGGCAGAAATAAATTATTTTAGATTATTTAAATGTCAGCCTGCTGTAATGCAGACAAACGTAGTCATTTCATTGCCCAAAACAAAAATATCAGCTCCAACAAGCGACGAATCGTCAAGGTAGCAGAAAGCTAGTGGTTAGCTTGAACTGGTCAGTGTTTACATCATCCAAATGCCTTTAACTCTAGCGTTGTAATACCGGCTTTTAGCTGACGTTACCTCAGATACAAAACATAGCTCAGAGAACACGGTCTTCGGCTGACTTTACACTTTATGAAAATGTTGTGACAGCCCGTCTTCTTACCTTTAACAACGGTGTCCACGACTTTAATATCAGAGACGGCACCAAAGACCCCGACGCCAAAGCTCAGCTGTGAGGGATCAGCTGATGGTTGCTCCTTTTAGTCTGGGAGCCGGAGACCTTCAGAATAAAAGCCTCAAGATCCCAATTCCATCACTGACTAAAACACAATTTATTATTTAAAAACATACAATGTGTTACTAAAAACACAATAAAAGTAATAGAACAACGATTAAATACATACGTGATAAATAAAAATAATAAAAAAGGAGTAATAAGAAATAATAAGAATATGAATAATAATGCACTCAGTTCTCAATTTCTTAGGTACACCTACTTAAAACTTACAACTTAATGTAGTCTAATCAGTAATAGTTTCAGAGATTTTCTGTCATATTAAACATTACTTACTGACAGGCTACTTTATACTGTGATTTCCTTTAAGAGTGATGAATTGAGCTCTTCACTGTCTTGTCTATAGCAGGGACCACAACATTGTCACTGTTCAGACAGCTTTCTCATCATCGTCTGTTTTTACACTGTTTGAACAAGTTGCTGCTCTGTGGGTTGGACCTTGTTTAGTATTCAGGTGACAATCTGCTTTTCAATCTACATTTTCAGATTATACTGATGATGAAAACGCATAAGGTGTGAGATGGAAAATAAAAGGCAGACACAAAAACAAATGGAGGTGAATGTTTTGTTTGGGCAGCAAGTAAAATAGCAAAAGAAATGGGATTACATGATAAGAGCAACACTATCACAACACCTTACCCAGTGACTCACAGTTATTTTCCCCTGTGTCCTTAGATTTTTATATTCAAGAGAAAATAAAGAAAGATTAAGGAAAGGAAAATTTATCAAATATAGTTGCTGTAAAACTAAAAATAACACATGTATTCCAATATATACAGATGGATCAAATGAACCTAAGAATGGAAAGACTTCGGTTTTGTTATCCCAGGTTTAAATATAAAAATTAAGGACATAATACCAGATCACTAACAACGTATGCAGTCAAGATGTTAGCTATTGTAATGGCTTTATAGCGGAGAGAGAAAAATAATCTTAAAAAGTCATATCATTCAGACTTATTATCAGTGCTGGTGTCATTGCAGTCCATGTCATCCCAAAACAGACCAGATATACTCAATGAAATACAGTATATGAAACAATATTTAGACTACATCAAACAGCAGGTTTATTTGGACCCGAGGTCATAGGGTCATCGAGGGCAATGAAACTGCAGACTCAATAGCTAAACAAGCAAGGGAATTTTTATGGAGATTGCTTTCAGAAAAGCAGTAATAAAGAGCAACATCCTGACTGCTTTGCAAAAACGTTGGGATGAAGGAAACAAAGTATGTCATATCTATAAAATAAAGCAAACAGTGGGTGAAATGAAAACAACAGGGGAAAACTCCAGAGAGCAAACAAAACATATCAAGGCTGAAGTCAGGACATACAAGGTTAAATAAAACAATGCACTTAAATCCACCAGGACTATGTGAATATGGCCCTGAAGAAGAAACAGTGTCATATGCCAGATGTATAAAACATATAAAAGCTAAAGAAGGAACTAAAGACATATTGAATCTTAATAATTTATATAGCATTAAGGAAGTAAAATATATAGCCTTGCTTTAGTTTGAAAATAAATTCGATTAATGAAGAGACGATTTGTTTGTTTGTGTGTTTGTTTACTGGGGTAAATAGGGAAATAGGCCCACACTCCAGCATAGTAGGTGGCGGTAAAGCACCTTTAAACGTTAGTTGCCACCCGCCATTTAAACAGAAGAAGAAGAAGAACTTCCGGCTTTGTAGCGCCCTTTCGGTGTATTTTTGTTCTGAAATTTGCCAGAGAAAACAACAAAAAACTGTCCAAATTGCTCCCGTCGAACCCCCACAGCCGAGAGGTGGATTTAATGTGACGCTTTGATGTTAAAAGACCAAGCGATGTCTGTGGTGTTTGACGGGACTCCGCTGAAAGCGATGCAGAGCTCACACACTCACAAACCGCAGACTGCCCTGAGGTGAGGTGGTGTTGGAGAGGAAGCGGCTGAGCTGACAGAACAACTACATTTCAGGCTTTAACGTCGCTGTAGCTCATGATTTCTGTTTTGTGTTTAATTAAGATTTACAAAGATGAATGGATCAATGTTATTGCACTGTTGTATAGAACCAGCTTGTGTTTAAAATGACTCTTAACGTCAGGGCTAACGTTACATTGAGTACTTTTAAGTTAATTGCTTATTCATCATGTAACGTTAACGTTACTCTATTAAAGGCTAAATGTGCACATGACAAGTTGTTGGAGCCCCAAAACTTGTTTTACAGAGGTTATTTGTTCTCACCAACACCTGATAACGCGTGATATCTTTTGAAGCAAAGCTAGCTGCCTTTTTGTTGCGCAATATCCACTTTTAATGTTAAAACGATAAATCGATTAATCAGTTAATTGATCGACACAAAATTAATCTGCAACGTTTTTGATAATTGATTGTTTAACAAATGTCATGCAAAAATGCTGAACATTACCTAGTTCCAACTCCTTAATTATGAGGATGTGCTGTTTTTGTTTGTCTTAAACATGAAAGACATCCACTTGGACTACTAATAAATTGAGAAACAAATTAGCAGATTAATGGATAAAGAAAATAATTGTTAGTTGCAGCCCTTTCTGTTGATAATTTAATTTGATTAATCAAGTAATTTAGTGAATAAGACAACAAAAAATTGCCTACCACAATTTCCCAGACAACTGCTTTGTCGTCTTCTACTACCAACACAAACCTATTCAGTAAAATTAACTGATTGCTTAATCAAGTTTCAGCTAAATTATATTTTATGCCAATTCTGAATATATTAGAAAATTAAGCTGTTTTGATAATCGATTATTTGTTTGAGTAATTTCTAATGCAGAAATGCCACCACTAGTTTGGTACAGACCCCAGTAAAAATCCCATCATTTTTATATATTTTTCAGTGAAAACGACCATTCCCACTATAATTGTGACTGAAATTGTGATATTTGTCAAAATAATCGTAAGATTTTTTTTGCATCATTCAGTTCTATACAAACGCTAATATATCTTTCTTCTTGGCAGTGATGTGTAAATAGATATTTATGAGTAGTCTTAGAGAACCTTCCCTTCTCGCACACATACAGGCACACACCTCTTTTCTTATTTCTTTTCCTCATCATTTTCTGCTTGTGGATGCTAAACCCCATCATTTTATCACATCCACTGTTCTCCTCTAGTGCTCAGGAACGGTCTCAGGAGATCAAGTCCTTCATCAGTGGCGTTGACACCGTTCAGGGGCGGAAGCTCAGTGTCCGGGAGCACGCCCGTTGTGCTGTGCGCCTGCTGCGCTCGGTCCCGGCCTGTCGAGGAGCGGTGCTGGAGCATCTGAGGGGTGTTTACGATGAGCACGTCTCCATCTTCCTGCACAACCTGGAGACAGAGCATGACACCAGCTCCGGGGTCAGCTCCAACCTGGAGGATATCATACAGGTGTGATGACACACGTAGGACTAGTACCTTACCTTAAAAATCATGAAAGTGATGAAAAGTTTAGATTTAAAAAAATAAAGAAATAAAGATTAGATCATTATTACAGGCCATTTTCATTAAGTCTTTGTGGATAAGGATTTTGTAGAGTCAATGAATCGATTAGTCAATTAACAGAAAATTTATCAGCAGCTATTATGGTAATGATCACACTTCATAATAATTTTTCAAGCAAAAACTAATAATCACCTAGTTCCAGCTTCTGGGGTCTGAGTATTTGCTGCTTTTCTTTGGCTCATGATAATAAACCTGAATATATATTTGGGTTTTAGAAAGACAGCAATTTGAAGATGTCCCCTTGGGCTTTTGGAAATTTTATGGACATTTTCCACTATTTTCTGTGCCTTGAACTAAAAACACAGTTACAACTTTTGCTATTGCTTCCATTTAAGTTTCCTATTCTGAAATGGCTTCAAGATAAGGAGACATTTGAGGTTGCTTGTCAGATCAAGAAGTGTGTTCGTACAGCACAATATCCCACAGTGTTTTTCTGCATTCATGAAAATATGATAATGTTTGGGAAATTACCCTGAAAATGGTCTTAAGTATATATATTTTTCTGTAGGAGGTTCATGGCGTGCTGTCAGAGTTCATCCGTCTCAACCCCCGGGCTTGGGCCCCTCTGGTTTCAGCCTGGGCTGTGGACTTGTTGGGCCAACTAAGCAGCAAGCACGCCGGCCGCAGGGTGGCCCCCCATTCCTCCAGTCTCAACGAGCTGCTCCAGCTCTGGATGTCCTGTGCTGCCACTCGGTCCCTCATGGAGGCTTACTCCCAGTGTTTGGCCGCCATGCTAGCCTGGTGCCCTGACGCCTGTGTGGATGCACTGTTGGACACCTCAGTTCAGCACTCCCCGCATTTTGACTGGGTGGTGGCTCACATCGGCTCCGCCTTCCCGGGTACTATCATCAGTCGAGTCTTGGCATGTGGACTCAAGGACTTCTGCTCTCATGGAGCTAAGGACCAAGGTGTACTGGTGATGGGATTGGACAAAGGCAGCAGAGTGCCCAAGATTGGCTCAGTGGTGGGAATCCTTGGACACCTTGCAGTGCACCACTCGGACAGCATCAGGAAGGAGCTGCTCAGGATGTTTCAGGAAAGCCTGAGTCCGTCGAGCCCCCTGTCTCCCACTTCATCCTCAACATCTTGGGAGAGTTCCCCTCAACTCCGTCGTGCTGCAGTACCATTTCTGCTGCAGCTGGCTGCTATGTCCCCCAACCTCTTTGGTGCAGTGTCTGCAGAGCTGGTAGAGCTGCTGTGCCCTCCGGTCCTGCTCCAGCTGCAGGCCGTGCTGCAGGGCCTCCCAAGAGAAGAACTGGAAAACATGCTGGGGCTGGCTGTCCACCTCATTAGCCAGAGCCCATCAGGGGGGTCAAGGGTCCTTCGTTTTCTGGCAGACACAGCGACCCCGGCTTCAGTCATCATCTCCGGCCCTACGCCCTCCCCTCATGAAGGAGTCAGAGAAGGTTGCGATCGCCTCCTCCAGATGCTGCTTCTGCACCTCCATAAACTGGTCTTCAACCGCTCAGATGGAGCTGAGGTCAATGCCCATCACCCTGCTTCCTCTCAGCCCCAGAGGGTCATCCCCTTCTTGGAGGAGCTGCAGTCTCACATAGGTGAGCTCTGTGCCGAGACGCTGCGACTGGAGAGGAAGCGTCACCTCTGGCTGCACCAGTTGCTGTGTCTGCTGTCGGTGTATGGGGGTCCCAGCGTGGCCACTGAGGCCCTCTGCCAGCTACTCACCCAGGCTCGCAACCCAGAGGAGTTGGCCCTGGCCTGGCAGCTCCACACCACTCTCTCCTCTTGCATGGCGGGCCTCATTCCTGCTGCTGTTGCTCGCTGTGTGGCCCAGATCCACACGCACACTCTGAGTCCCCGGCAGCTGAGGCAGCTGCTGCTTAACTTGGCCACAGCCATCCAGAGTCAGGATGAGGAGAGAAGAGGAGCAGCCGGTGTTCAGTGCTACATGGCCACGCAGGTGGGTGCTGCAGTCTCAGGAAACCTCCATGATTTTGGCCCGCTCCTTATCCACGGTGACCCGGCTGTATCTCACGCTGCAGTGCGCCTCCTGTCCTGTAGCCCACTCCCCCGCACCTCCTCCCCTGCACACCTGCTCCTGCTCTCCCGCGCTGCCGTCACTCATTTCTTTCTGGCGCTGCGGAGAAGAGGAGAAGTGGAGAAGGCGGCCAGAGATGGGGGACAGGCAGGCGAGGCAGTGAACAGTTCAGTCCTGCTCCTGGCCCGATTCGCAGCGTATTCCCCGCTCACTCTCAAAGCGGTACTTCAGCAGCTGGTTGAGGGAGCGCTACATAAAGGCAATGCAGACCTGTTTGGAGGGCAAATTGCAGACATGTCCGGCGCCCCCGTGGTTTCCCCATCTGTGTCCCCTGACCTTGGAGCCTCTTTGCTGGATATCAACTGTCGGTTTGGTACCACCGTCAACTTTTCTGGCAGCGTGTGGTCTGTGTTTCATGCCGGGGTGATTGGCAAGGGACTGAAGGTCCGCACTGACACAAAGCTGCCCGACCCATCTGGGGTCATCCAGGTGAGTTACACAATTTATGAAGAGTAGTTGAGCAATTTTTCATGCAAAATGTGGATTAGAAAAGATAACAGCACTGGAGTCAAAGCGATATACAAATTAGGGGTGTGGTTTTTATAAAGTAGGTAATGCATGCAAATTTTATCACTCTTTTCAGTCAGTTTGAACTTGAAACAACATTTTCATGTAAACATTTGACAGGGAAAGAGGTAGAGGTAGATATATGTGGGTGGCCATCCAAGTAAATTCTAAATGTTGCAAGCACAGCAAATGTATAAAATAACTGAAAATGATCAAAGATAGTAGAATTACATGTATTTTGTTTGATGTGCTGCAGTAAAAAAAAAAATCAGCGTGTTACTTTCATCATCTTCTCTCTGTAGAACGTCCAGACTCTGCTGGCTGTCGTAGTCCAGTGTTGCAGCTCCTCTGGTCTCAACGGCTCTATCAACTGCTCACGACCATCATCTGACCCTGACGAGCCGGCGCCCATCAATGCAGAGGCAGCCAAGGTTGTTGCAGTGACATTGGTGGAAAACGTCTGTCCGGATGTGGCCAATGGTGAGCTGTCCTGGCCCCCAGAAGAGCACGCCCGCACCACGGTGGAGCGAGACATCCACATTCGGCGTTGTTTTGAGGCACACCCGGTGCTCTTCCCTTTGCTTCAAGTGGTGGCAGCTGGACGCCCGGCTCTCTGCTACTGCTCAGCTGTGCTCCGAGGCCTCCTGGCCACTCTGCTGGCCCACTGGGAGGCGTCCCGCGAGGTGTTATCCACAGACTCCCCGTGGCACCTCCAGGCCTCCTGCCTCCTGGTGTCCTGCATGGGAGAGGGCCAGCTCCTGCCTCCGGTGCTGGCCAACGTCCACGAAGCTTTCCCCCACCTCACTCCCTTCGAGGTGAGGCTGCTGCTGCTGGCTGTGTGGGAGTACGTGAGGGGTAATGGGCCCATGCCCCAGAAGTTTGTCTTCAACTCAGACAAAGGCCTGTTCTGCAGGGATTTCTCACGGGACGGCGACGTGGCGAGATACGTGGCACCAATTCACAGTGTCCTGCATAAAAACATAGATAGACTGGGACACCTGTGCTGGCGGTTCCAGCTTTAAAAAGTAGTGGGAAGCAATAGATGGACTACATTGTTAACATTGCAAGAGTGGACAGCAAAGTTGCTATAATTGTACTTCGGTTTCATACAAGTATTGCTGTGTGTGTGTGTGTGTGTGTGTGTGTGTGTACCTTTTTTGTACCATATTTTTAGACTTGATACATTTCTAACTTGTTTCTGTGAGAAGACAAGGGGACAAGAGAAATGTCACACATGTATATTATGTTAATACAGAGTTTGTTCCACACAAAATACCGCCTTAATGTGTCATTTTGGTCATAAAATTAACTCTGGGTAAACTTAACTCTGGTAAATGATTTATAGGTTGTTTTGTATAATTTTCAGATTGTTTGGTTCTTAAATTGTGGCTACAAACTGCCCTGCAACTGTTGTTTCAACCACTTCACAAAATAAATCTGCATTTGGTCCTTGTGTCTTAAATTGCGCATTATTGATGCTTAAATGTGTTATCACAGGACTCTCTTGATTAAAGTGATCCACAAGGTCTTATAACCATGTTCTTTTCTAACCTTTTTTGTTTGCCTACTTAATACGAAGCACCAAATCACAGGGAAATGGTTCCTCCTTCTTAGAGTGTGATTAATTTTATTAATGGGGGCTTTAGGAGGCAAAACTATACTATATTTCACAAGGGAAAAAGCAAAGGGAAAATTCTGAAAAATAAATGTACATCTGTAGGAGAGTTTTATACCCCAGTAATCAGCTAGCAACCGCTTAGATAGTTCTTGTGACCCCTTGTGGTGGATGGATCCTGACCCCCAGGTTGTAACTACTGAACAGATGTTTGATGATCTATTTATGTTCACCGTCAGGATAAATTGTAAAAACATTCTCCCCTTATGTTTCATTTAGTGTCACCAGCAGGTCAAATTTGTCCAATACCTTGGTTTATGCTAAACACTTGCAGAACTAACAATATTCCTGTAGTTTTTCAGGTAGTTTGCACTTTGTACTTTGTGTTAAGTGCTAAGTTGCAAATGTTAGCATGCTAAAATGCTAAACTGAGATGGTGAGCATAGTAAACATTATACTGTACTACCAGCATGTTCTTTTTTTCCTGTCGCTATGGTACTATTCACACAACTATGTCGTAATATTTCACCGCTTGTAGTACAAAAAACACATCAAAAGTTTACTTTTCCACAACTATAAGTACATCTGACATTAACTCTCTACAACAAAAACATGTTTTGGATTGAAATACATTATGTTCACACAAAGTACATGCGAAATGTTTAAGATTTTCTTCTCTATTGTTAAAATATATTTTACTATCACTTCCATTGTTTGTAATTGATCATTGCTGAAACATTTGCTTAATATAGTGTTACGTTCCAAGGTCTAGGGGTGTCCTGGATGTAACATAAATGTGTGGCCTCCCACTCTTCCCATTCCCAAATAAGGCCAGCACATAACAAATACAATTTAGCAGTTTTTATTATACATCGGAGATGAGCAGTGCCCAAAACAACAACCAAAACACTAAGAAAACCTAAATCTTTCCTAAACCCAAAACCAAAAGGTAAAGAAAAGACAAAGCTCTAAAACTAGGCTTCTAAGTCCAAAAACAGGAGAAAACGGTGCAAACAAAAAAAAGGGCTTCTCACTCCTACTCACTGCTAGTAGCTGACACAATATAGCTACGACAAAGGAAATGGCTTCATAGCAACAAAAATGGCAAAGCCAACAAAAACAGGTTGTCATAAGACAATCAGAAGGACAGAATAATAGAAACGTCTGTGCATTATAATGTAATATAGTAGCCCTGCCCTTGTTTGTATTTAGAGGGGACTAATATTTTACAATATGTAAAACAAAATCCAATAGAGTTAAATCAATCAGTTAAATCAATCAATCTCTTTTTTTAAGTGGCTCCCAATCTTCTTTTTTTGCTTTGGACCTCTTCAAATAATGTCATGAATGTTTACTTGTCTGCCACACTACACAGAGTATGTACAGTCAATGACTACAGTGGTAGTGGGGACTAGTGTGGTAGATCAATTAAGAAGTAATTTAGTTTTTTCAGGCCTGGGGAGACAGTATTTCACAAGCTGCAAAAGGAGAAATTAGAAAAATGTCAATGGTAAATAAAAGGTAAATTTTGTGAAACAAAATAAATCATGTTGTAGAGTGGGAACCACTGCTTTACATATTCACAAAGTTAGGATTTATTGCGGGGGGGGGTTGTACTGGATTGCATTAGATTCTACACCTGTTTCCACCACTTGTACGTTGCTTTGGGTAGAAAAACAATCCATTGCAAGCAGTGGGACACATCCAGGACAAGTGTGAGCATTTTCCTGACTGGAGCTTGGCGATGACGTGTCCATCCCTGAGAGGATAAAATACATGCACTATCCCTTTATTGTCGATCAGATAAACAGATAACACCATGATTAAGTAAAAAAAAATCCATAAATGTAATTTCATTCACATTACCTTTATTATTTAAAAATAGAAATAATAAAAAAAGATAAATATTTCCTTCGGATGCTGAGAATCTTACTTTTTTTAACGATCTTAACGAGTGAAATGGGCGGAGTCACACTGGAGCATAATCAAGATGGCCACCTTCACTGAAAGGTAAGACAAAGCAGGTCCGCTGTTTCATCGCGTATTTAACGTTCGTTTGATATATTATCCGACCAGATAACAGGCCAGAGATTATCGCCACTTAGCAAATGTGTACGCAAGTTTACTGTTTCAGGGTTTAACGGCTGCTTGGGGAAAATCATACTAGAAAAGTCGAGATCCCCCCTCAATTGAATTAACGGCTTGACACAGGCTGTCTGTAACGTTACCGTTGTCAGATTAACACGATATCCTGATCCAAAGAGGTAATTAACGACACCTCTGCTGTGTCAGACAATCAGGCGTTAGCCGCCTCGACGCAGTAATGCTGTCAAATCAATAATGTGTGTCCATTTTCTAACGTATTTTCACCAGATTTCCGATTGGATGCTAGCTAACTTTAGCCCACATTAGCTAATACTGTCTCTTGGCATAATTTCAAGGCACATCACATCCCGCCCGGCTTTGACAGGAAGCGTGAGGGCTAGAAATAGTTCTTTGCATGAGCGTCCGGGGTCTAACATGAAAAACGGGGATCTGGATGCTGTTTTAAAAGTGAATTAATGCGCACTGTGTAGCTGCAGCAGGGAGAGGAAACGGGAAATGGTTTAGTACCCTGTGACATTTTCTGTCGCCGCCTTTCAACTAGAGGACACATTTTACCACCATAGAGAGATCAAAGTCCGGGTGTGAGTTTGTGTCTGTGTGTGCTTTGTATAAGTTTAACTCCTGTATATGCGCAGTAGCTTGCCTCAGGTCCTCCTGGGTATTTACTCAGGCATTCCTCAAATGTGTGTGTGAATGAATTGGAGAGGTGACTGGTGGCAGCATGGACCATCTGAAGTTTAAATTGTCTCCTTTATTTCATATGCAGGATGGCTCCTGTCTTGGTGCTGTGGCTGGCCGTGTGCCTCAGTGGGACGTGGGCTGTGGACAAGGGCAACTTCAAGACCTGTGACCAGAGTGCCTTCTGCAAGTGAGTGCAAGATTTAAAAAAAAAAAAAACAAATTTACTTGCTTAAAGTTAACAGCGCCAAAGATACACACACCAGTGCTGATTTATCCACTCTTGTTATTTAATTTTAAACAGACGTCAGCGTGCATTGAAGCCTGGCGAGTCTCCCTATCGAGCCCTGCTGGAGACCATGGAGCTGACCAATACCAGACTCACCCTGCAGCTCATCAATGACAACAATAAGGTAAATCGCACACAAAGAAGCAGTTCCCAATGGGGAAATCGTGGCTGCCATAAGCATAAGGAACTGTTTAATAGGTGTACCTTAAATCACAACTGTTACCTAACCTGTTCCGAGATCGGCCTCTCTGCATTATAACATTTCAGTGAAAATAGAAAGTTACCAGTTTCGCTTCCTTATGGTGTCAAAACCAAATGCCTAATTTGGCAAACTTGGTCTAATGCTGAAAAAACAGGCCCTTGGCTCATCTTCTCCACCCTTCCCTCTCACACCTTTCGCTCTCTCTCAGGTGCGTCTGCTGCTGGAGCTCTACCGTCTACAGGGAAACATAACGAGGGTGAAGATTAACGAGCTCAAGCCTCTGAAGCCGCGCTATGAGGTCCCAGACGTGCTCATCAGGGAGCCACCTACTGAGCCGTAAGTCTCCCAAGGGTGTTAATCTGCTGACTGTGTGGTGTGGGTGGGTGGATGTAGGTTTTGATATTGCAGAATAAAACTAAAAAGGCAAAATGTACTTTTCCTGTGTTTAGTCCTGGCATTGTCCATTGTATTAAATTGGCTCAAAAATGTCCTATGTAACAAAAAAGAAACAAAAAGGCTTTAACAGGGGACAAAAAGGAGCAACAGTAGATTAATCTTCCAGGATGGACAGACAGAATGTTCGTTTTTTTAAGTAGACAGAGTAACAGAAGACGTGCAAATGGACAAAGAACTATCATAGGCCTTTTTCAGATACATTTTGACCTGTCACAGTCGGAAAAGTACAGGTTTAAAATAAAATTACAAAAACACCAGCGCTTTTCCTTCTGGTCAAAATATCTGCTGAGAAAAAGGCCTGTTGAGTAAAAATGTGTCTCAAACAAAGTAACGCACATTCAGATCTGAATTTGGTAACACCTAACGGATAAAGGAAAATCTCAGAGAATTTAATTTGACTTTAAATATTGGAGAAAACAAAACATCCAGCATTTTTACTGTATGTTGAGGCATTTACCCACGCACAACTCAAAAGAACAATAAAACTGAGACCCTGTATAAGTTGTTCTGGTGAAACAAAACAGCCCTCCTGAAAAAGAGCCAGTGCTTTCTGGCTTGAGTTTAGTTTGGCTTCGCTAGATTTAATTAGAGAAACCTACAGCATTTATAAGTTTGGAGCAGACAAAGCCCTCACCTTTTTCTTTTTCTAACCCTAAATCTTCTTTTCCTCTCCTCTTCCCCTCTCTCCCTCAGCCTGTCTCTCTTGTCTCAGGACGAGAATGGGGTAGTGCTGTCCCTGGGGCCGGAGTCTCAGAGGGTCATCGTCAGTGCCCGTCCCTTCCGATTGGACATCATGGAAGGGCGAGACGTGCTGATGTCGCTGAACTCGCGCGGCCTGCTGGCCTTTGAGCACCTGAGGATCCGCAAGGACACGTGAGAAACCACGCAAGCACACACATTTACAAATGCCAGCCCTCTCTTTTAATCCACGCCCTCACTCAGTGGATGATTTCTATTTTTGTTCCCATGAAATGGTTTGTTTTTTGAGTATTGTCTCTGACTCGTTGTTCTGTCCTCTTCTCCCTATCATCCTAGTTTCTCCTATAAAGTAACTAGCACAGTGGCTAGCGTGTGGGATAATATCAAGAGGGTATTCTCTAGGTAAAGACCCTTAAGATTTGTAAGTGTGTATTCTGTTCCTTGTGCCAATGCTGCCAATAGTGACCAAAAATGTAGGGACTCCCATCACAACAAGCACAGTGTTGACCGTCAAATCAATGTGGCTGAGAGTGAGAGCAGGTGTGGGTGAGCGTGTGCATGTTGGTGTTTAATCCGATCCAAAATTAAAGGATCACTTATTATCCTCATATTGTTGAAGGATCGCTTAAGCAATACAAGTCACTTATGATGTTGATTATTTTATTTCATGAAACAAAGACAAAATCATCCTGATCATGAAAAACACATTCACCTGAATGATGAAGGGTCTGCTGTGCACCACTGTCGTGTCAGATCAGTGACCGATTAACTAAATCACTGACGTTTCACTGCAGCAGATCTAACACTGCAACTGCATGACTGACTGTGTTTCTAAACCAGTTGTGTTAACTGAAATGATTTGCCACGCTTGCTCAATTCAGGGTGAGAGCTAACGGCAATAGATGGAAAAATGACTAGTGACAGTAGTTTAGAAGGCACATAAAAGCAAAGCTTCACATGTAGTCTGGGTGCCACTAGATGGTTTGTGTCTTATTTACCGGTAATGCAGCGCAGCTCCCAAACCCAACAGCAACATCTCTCTTTGTGGTTATGCTTCAGTTTGCATTTCAGTTTGAGGGGTTAGAATTCTCTAAACTGGGACTTTTCTTTCTTTTTGAGCTTTGAAGCCGTACTCCATTATTGTGGAAAAACAGCTTTTGTAGTCGCCTTCCTCATTTTGTGTGTTTTTAAATTTTTTTATTTATTTTTTTTGTGGCAGTGATCTGCACTGATGTATGCAGTGTGGTTACTAAAGATGGAGATGGCTAAATTAATGCGTCTCAGTACTGATTTAACTACTGTTGACATTCAAATCGTGACCGACAGACACTAATGTTAACTCAGACTAATGTTACACATCAGTCTGTTTACAGGTCTTGGGTAGTATCTACTACTGCATATGTATTTAAATAAAAAGTTGATTAAAGTCTCCAGAGATAAATTGCCTTGTGCGATGTTACTTGAGTCAGAGTTGGTTACAGATGAAAAGTTTGAGATTTAAAAAATAATCTGGGTGTGTATGGAGTAAGCATACCAGACCTCTGTAGCAACAACTGTTGGCGGCCAGGTTGTATTCTGAGTAATGTAGGTGCCACGTTTTGACAAGGGAGACAAATGTTTGGAATTAAAAGCACTATCTCTGGTTCTGCTGCATCAGTTTTCTTTTTATTTCATTTTTAACTGTCCATCGTAGGTCTGACAGTATTATGAGTATAAAATGCCCCTAAGTTAGCTGCACAGACTTCCATCTCGCCCCAATAATCCGGCACGGAGCAACACAAGAGCCTTGTTTTTCTGCTGAAATGTGATACGGCATAACAAACTAGCACCGTTGCCTTTTGCATGTGTGCTGCAGCAGGTCAAACAGCTGTGTGTGACTACCAAAATCTTTAGCCATTCAAGGCTTGTTTGACAGATCCTTTAATGCAATGCCATGGCCTCGATTACACCATGGTGTACAGGGCATCCACTGGGTATCAGTTGGTTCTGTAAGGAGTCTTGTGGGTGTTACATGGGCCTCCAGAGGTCCTGTACCATAATGCTTAGCTTGAAGTAGCCACAAGGCAGGGAGTTGCTCAGTCCCCTTTGTCATTAAAGTTAAGTCATTCCAAACCTTGTAGAGTATTTTTAGTTGTCATTATGGAGTCAGGGGGCATTCACCAACCTCCCAGTTTGTTGCCCTATTCCTTTTATCATAGTTTAATTATACTCCCATACATTGTCAAAAGATGGCATGACTGCCAAAGTGACATGTCTTTTTTTTTTCCCTATATCCCCTTCCCTCCATTCTTTGTGCCATGGAGCAGTCAGGCAGCTCCAGAGGCAGAGAAGAAAGAGGAGGCTGATCCGGCGAACCAGGCCGAGGTACTACACACTAAATTACACTTCAATTTCCTCTTCCTCTCTATTTTAAAAGCACCGTATCTACGCTGTTTCTCAGCCTGGATCTTACGTTACCATTCTGCCTGTTTTCCTGCCAGACAGCAAAAGAAGAGGAAGAGAAAGTAGAAGACGGGATGTGGGAGGAAACATTTAAATCGCACTCAGACAGCAAACCTAATGGTAAGTCCTAGTTATGAATTTCAGTTATAGTTAAATTGATCTAAATTAATTACCAGTGCTATAATATCTGCTTGTGGTTAGTGTTATATCTGAAACATAGCCTGTTTGGAAAGGGTTTTTGGGGTTAACTGACTTTTTCTTTGTACATTGCCTCCTCTAACAGATAATTGGTTGCTCTCGCCTTACAGGTCCATCTGCCGTTAGTTTAGACTTTTCATTGCCAGGGGTGGAGCACGTGTACGGCATCCCAGAACACGCAGACAACCTCCGGCTCAAAACAACAGAGTGAGTGTCATCAGCAAGGCATATCTCGAATACAAAATGAAGATGGTTGATGTTGTGAATCTGAAGCCTGAGTGTTTTTCTGTTTAAGCAATGGTGATCCATATCGGCTCTACAACCTGGATGTGTTCCAGTACGAGCTGTATAACCCTATGGCCCTTTACGGCGCTGTCCCAGTCATGTTGGCCCACAGCTCCCAGCGGACCACAGGCATCTTCTGGCTTAACGCCGCTGAGACTTGGGTGGATATCAGCTCCAACACAGCTGGAAAGGTATGTCTTTTTCTTTTTCTACTCCCTAGTTCCTTGGAACTGTTTTGGCCAAAAATAGCCAGCATCACATGTCTGCTGTACAAAAACTCCAATCCTTGACATACTCACTTTTATCTCTCTCCAGACTGTGTTTGGGAAAATGCTGGATTATGTGCAGGGCTCCAGTGAGACGCCGCAGACAGACGTCCGTTGGATCTCTGAAAGCGGTATCATCGATGTCTTTATTATGCTTGGACCAACACCCAACGACGTCTTCTCTCAGTATGCCTCCCTCACAGGTAGGAAGATGGATGATGGGCCGTTTGCATGTACACTTGATGCCTTCTTTACCATGTTTTCTCACAACTGAGTGCTTCCAGTAGTTTAGGCTGAGTGCACAAGTATCTCTTTCTCCTTTTGGTTTGGATTCTGGCTGGTTACATTTGGCTCTGGTTACACTGTGTAATATAAAATGTTGTCATTTAGGTAGGTAGTAGAACAAAGGATATTAAAAACAGGTATTTAAAACAAGGGAAAGCATATTTTTTACTATTTGTTTATTTTTAAGACAAAGATAATTGACATGATTTTCAATTAGATCACCTACTTTATGATGCTTAATGAACAGATTCAAGAACCCTGCTCTTACAAGTCTAATTATGAACAGAATTGAATTTATTGAGTTATGGTGGTTTAGACATTTAACCAAAAATCACCAAAGACAGAGGCGTGATAAAGTTTGATGATTTACTGCCTGGTACCAGTAGAGGTATCTGTGTAGCCTAATAAAGTATCTGATTTGAAGACTGATTTGACAGACAGTCACAGCTTTTACCCTCATGTCGTCTTACCTCCTTCTCATGTTGTCCCACAGGCACCCAGTCCTTCCCTCCCCTTGCTGCCCTGGCCTACCACCAATGCCGCTGGAACTACAATGACCAGGAAGACGTGCAGACAGTGGATGCAGGCTTTGACGAGCACGACATCCCCTATGACTTTATCTGGCTCGACATCGAGCACACCGATGGCAAGCGCTACTTCACTTGGGATCCACACAAGTTTGCAACACCGAAGGAAATGCTGCAGGGTCTCTTGGAAAAGAAACGCAAGGTACAGATGACAAATAATTCAACATCGCTCTGCCAGCAGACAACATTAGGATCAACCGTTTCATGTGTTTTTGAGGCCGGAGGTTCTCCAGTGTCTCTCACTTTACCTGAAATCTCAGTAAATTACCTGCAGGCACCTTACACATTTACACTTTTAAGACTTCCTGCTCAAAGTTCTTTGTTGTTTTATAGATGGTGGCCATTGTGGACCCTCATATCAAAGTAGATAGCAACTACAAGATCCATAATGAAATCCGCTCTCGGGGTTTCTATATCAAGAATAAAGATGGTGGAGACTACGAGGGCTGGTGCTGGCCTGGTAAGAGACTGACAACCCAACATCAATCATGGAAAATGCATTTGTAAATATATATTATGAACTGGATCTGCACTACAAATCATCTTCATTATCAAATTAAATATTTCTCACATTCCTTTCTGTCCTTCTTGATGTCCGTCAGGTAGCGCCGGCTATCCAGACTTCACCCGTGAAGACATGAGGGCCTGGTGGGCCAGCATGTTCGCCTACGATCAGTACGAGGTGAGTCTCATGGACATTTGGTTCTCTGGTGCTCAGCTAAAGACAAACCGTCACTAATCTGGGAGATACTGAAGATTTGGCTTGTTGGCTGTTGTGTGCCAGCTTTCTATAAAGGACAATGATTGAAACCTTTTTTTAAAACACTTGTTTAGCTTGGAAATGTCACAAGCTCTTTTTCTGTAACACCCAGTTTCATCAGCATAACCTCACCTGTGATCTGCCAACTACAACCACAGTTTTCTGTTATAGACTAAAGACCATATGGGGATTTATCATTTGTAATTTCTGCGCCTCAGGTTCATCTAATCTGTCGGTGGATTTAAAATGGCACATTTTCCACAGTATGGTTTGTCTGGCCTCAAGTGTCATGTCAACATTCTCTGTCCACTTTCCAGGGTTCCATGGAGAACCTGTATACATGGAACGACATGAACGAGCCGTCGGTCTTTAACGGGCCTGAGGTCACAATGCACAAGGACGCGGTGCACGGAGCCTGGGAGCACCGTGACCTGCACAACATATATGGCTTCTATGTGGTGCGTGCACATGCACAGTTTGGTGTTTAGTATTCACATGGGCCACTGTAGTTTATTGATGGGAGAAAATGACACTGGAACTTTATTTCCAGGAATATCACAATACTTTTCCTTGATGTTCTGCTACCAACCGGGCCCACAGGTCATTTGTGCCTACTAGTATTGAATTTCTTAACAAACAATGACATAATAATACAGAGCTGAATCTCTGGGTGTTGGGGAGCTGCACCTTAGTATAACTTGTATAGCACTCAGGAGATGTTTGTGTTGGTAAAACAGTTGTCTGGTTGTTAGAATGAAATGTGGGAGGTTAAGATTATACTGTCACAGCCCAGAAATTGCTTTGAAAGAGAACCAAAATATGCTCTAAAAATCAGATGAGATGTATAGCAAATACCCCCCTCTGCTCCACTGATTATCCTGTGTACAACCTGTAGCAAATGGCCACAGCGGAGGGTCTGATCCAGCGGTCGGGAGGAGTTGAGCGACCATTTGTTCTGACCAGAGCCTTCTTTGCTGGGTCACAGCGCTACGGTAAAGCCCTTTTACTGCTTTAGCTTTTCATACTAACAGCAACCTCTGTTGTGTTCTTAAAAGTTTGTTTGTGAGTGTTTAACCCTCATTCAGCAGTGGTGGGTTATGTGCTAGAAACCTCTTGTGTCCGGATATTTTAGCAAAGGACTTTAAGTGTGTGTGTGTGTGTGTGTGTGTGTGTAGGTGCTGTGTGGACTGGAGATAATGCTGCTGAGTGGGACCATCTGAAGATCTCTATCCCCATGTGTCTGAGCCTGGGCCTGGTTGGAATGTCTTTCTGTGGTGGTGAGTGTTATCGAGCTTCACGGTCTCGTTACACTGAGTTTGTTCCTTTTTGATCAGCTTAAAATGGCCGACGTGCTTGAAGACCAAAATATTTAGAGGACTGCTGGAATGTTTGCTGGCTGACTTTTTAAAAAGCTCTTTTGTTGTTTCATTGTTTGTGTCTCTTGGTATTATTTTTACAAAGATTTTTTACAATACTAGTTGAATGTGCAGTTTAAGTAGTTGCTATGAATTGCTCCCAGAAACTGTAATTGCAAGTGATTATATCTTCATTAAATATTGAACACCATTATTTTATACTAACAGGTGCTAGTTTAAACTATGGACATTCCTCATTATCATGTTCCAGCTGACAAGAAACTCTTATAAAATAAACCCTTATAAACAATACACTGTGAAATGGCAATGGCACAGAAGCAACTACAGATGCTCTGCACCAACTTGTCTTAATAAACATTTTTGAATAGTATTTGTGAGGAACTGAAAATTAAAACTATTAAAAGGAAACTTTCTTCATGTCTGGACTCTTCCAACATGTTAAAAGTGTAGCAGATCTTTTTTTAAAAAAACATATTGCTGGCCTTGAGAGCTTACATTTAACTATAAGGAAAGGGTTATTATGTGGGTTATTATGTGCACTATTACCCTCGCTAACATGTTGAATTGTCTTAACTTAGAAACAACAGTAAAGCAGAACTGCGATAGTAAAACTGTATAAGTAGGAGCATTTTGAAAAACATTTGGCTTGGACACAGATCTCCACAGAGTGTTTTGTTAATGTTGTCATGAAAACTAAATGCACTGAGGAACTGCATGAGGTGTTTCCATGGTGAGAGCACAGGTTCCCTGGGTAATCTAGCTGCAGTTAAATATAACCGTCAGACGATAAGGGAATGACGCTTATATTCTTGATTAGATTTGGTGTTTGGTCATTGCACCTGTATTAAATAAAGTTGATTCAGTAGAAATAACACCACACATTCATTCCCCTCCAGTTCAGCCATAAACTCTGAAACTAGAAGGTCTCAGGAGGTTGTTGTGTCAGACGGTTTAGTTTCTCCAAGACATTTTATTTCTATTAGACTCTGAACAGCCCAGACCTGGCACTAACCCCATCTGTCTCATAGCTGACGTCGGTGGTTTCTTCAAGACTCCGAGCACTGAGCTGCTGGTGCGTTGGTACCAGACGGGGGGCGTACCAGCCGTTCTTCAGGGCCCACGCCCACCTGGACACCCCCCGCCGTGAGCCCTGGCTGTTTGGCCCAGAAAACACAGCGCTGATCCGTGAAGCTGTTCGCCAGCGGTACACCCTCCTGCCCTACTGGTACCAGCAGTTCTACCACGCACACCGTACCGGACAGCCCGTGATGAGGTGAGTACAGGGCAGGAAATGTCGTTTGTGTATCGTTCTTGTTAATCTGTACGTGTAATGAAGAGTTACAAAGTCATCACCAAGGTGGCGAAAATTTAGTTATCAAATACAGACACCAATACCTGCTTTTCTTAGGGGTCTAACTAGGTCATTTTATTCTTTTGTCACAGACCGCTGTGGGTGGAGTATCCTCAGGATCCTGCTACTTTCGCTCTGGATGACGAGTTCTTGATCGGTGAGACACAAAACTCCAAAACTTTAATATTTTGCTTTTTTATGTCTGGTTTGTCTAATTTTTGGCATTTTTGTCTTTAAAAAATGACAAAGATTTCAGCTTCTCAAGAGATAATATTTTCTGGTTTCTTAACTCTTCTAAGACTGAGTATATTTAGGTTGTGAACTAAATAAGACATTTGAAG